TACTTCACAATTAGGCTAAATGTCTTTTTTAGTGACTTCTCTGCTCAGAAAATTCTTGTGCAAGAACATTGGAGTGACAAACATCTGAAAGTTAAACATTTTGATTGGCTGAAAAAAGTTTTAAAAAAAGTGGAGCTTTTTATAAAAGCCATTACCTCGAAATAAAACTGGGATAGATCGACATGATTGAAAGCAGATTACAGAAAAGAGTATTCACGTTTTCTCAAGTGAAGTGAATAACTTCTTAGAGCGGTTCAGCAGCAGTGCTATTTGATGAACGACTTTCACACAGGCGAAGGTGGGGTGAAATTGCTGAGAGAGCTAGTCTGCGACTAATTTGCCCGAGACGAGGAAAGATAGAAATGAAGCTAGCACACTGCGGCTATGTATATGTGCTTGTCCGTTTTTAGCTGTCCTTGTTGTGGGTAAATTGATTTTTTTATAATGTAGCTCATGTAGAAAAGTAGTGGTCAATTGGCAATATATTGGGTGTCTCAAATAGTGGCCAGTCTCTTTAAATCGACCACAAAATTCGGTTTCTTAACCTGTCGCGCTAGGATTTTGTGCACCGTTGCCCACAAGTGGTGTATTTTTTTCTATAAAAATTGCAAAGAGCGAACTAACTGAGGAAAAAATAAAGAAAGAAAATGGCTTAACTGCTATGGAAATGCAGCGAAGCCAACGGTCTTCAAAAATAGGGTGCCCTATTGTTTGAAGACTGGTGCCTTCGCTGAATTTCAAAAGGAGTTAACCCTTTTTCTTTCTTTACTTTTTCCTCAGGTAAGTTCGCTCTTTGCAATTTTTATAATAAAAAAATGCACCGCCTGTGGACAACGCTGCAAAAACTCCTAGTGCAATAGGCTAAGAAACCAAATTTCGCGGTTGAGAGCCTGGCTGCTACTTGAGACACCAAGTTAATGTTACACGAATGTTGAGGACAAAACATACCACATATGTTTGCTGTGTGGTCATTGGAAATATATAAACAATGTTAATAAATTATGTTTCACTAATGTTGAGGGCATAACATACCACAAATGTTGAGGGCATAACATAGCACAAATGTTGAGGGCATAACATAGCACAAATGTTGAGGGCATAACATAGCACAAATGTTGAGGGCATAACATAGCACAAATGTTTACTGTGATGTTACGGGAATGTTTTCAGATAACGTTCCAGCGACATGACATTTTGCGGACATTAGCCACGTATACACAACGTTGGCGGACCACATTCCAGTAACATTGTGGCAACATTCGGTGCTACTAGGGGTATTTGCAGCTTTTTAGAAGCCACAAAAAATGGGTTTAATATTTTTTTCTATTTTTAATATTGAGCGCGTGCTTTCAGTGACCCACGACTTTGATTAAGTTTGGTGGTCGCATCGATACCTTAGAAAACGGCCCGTGACCGCGGAAAAGAGAGTGAGCGAGACTCCAACCGGCCAGTTCTAGATCGGCGGTTTTCGGGCAGAAAGAAACCGAATTTCGAGCCGCAAATTCTGTTCTGGGTAGTTCAGCTCTCATATGTCACGTACAACTAAAAACCTCGGCGAGCATAAATACCCTGTCAGTGTCCCTTTAAGTATCATTCGGAGTGAACATGTTCGCGGTTTTACCTTGAATGCGCGCGAGGTACGCATTTTGGCTTATGCGGACGACATTGCTATTTTTTGCACAGATAGCGAGAGTATTGAAAAAGCCATCGAAATCACCAAAACCTTTTGTACTCGGACCGGATGTTCAGTGAACTGGTCGAAATGTTCGGGGTTTTGGCACGGCCGATGGGCATCGAAGCCAAACTTTCTCGCTCAAATTGCCTGGTCAACCCTTCCCACCCGTTATCTTGGCGTACCATTGGAATACTATCGTGACAGCTCGGGTCTGTGGAGCGAAGAGACAAATAGGCTGCGCGAGAAAGCGGCCCCCAGTGCAGGCCGCCATTTGTCTATTTTCGCGAGAGCTACAGTGTGTAACTCATTTTTTGTCGCTAAGCTGTGGTATCTTCTACAGGTCTTGCATTGTTCTCGATTTCACATTCAGAAGTTGCATCGTGTATTCGCTGTATATGTGTGGGCGTCCAGCTGGGAGCGCGTCAGCCGGATGAATTTGTTTCGGCGCGTACGGCATGGCGGTCTTTCTTTATCACATCTTTTCATGCGCCAAATTGTTAACCGTCTTCTTTTCCTGCGTGATCAAGAGGATCCCTTTCTGCGTACTGTTCTTCAGGTTCAATTGTCGGGTGTCTTACCCAATTTCATCGTTTCATCCAGTGATGGTGCTACGGGACCACTGAGTGCTTATTTGAAGGAAGTTGTCGGTGCATACAAATTTTTAACCACGCGTTTCTCTTTAGAATATCTCAGTACTGTCTCTCGAAAGCGACTTACAAGAAATCTAATAGAAACGTCATTTCCAACCCCTTTGTATCGAGCTATTTACAGCGAGACTTCAGGACAGGATGTACTTCGACGCGTTAAGAAAATGCTGGTCCCGGCCACAATGAAAACCTTTTTCTTTCAACTTCACAGTGGAACGCTTCCGGTTAAAACATTGCTGGACGAAAGGGGCATATTTGTTCCCTGGACTGTGAACTGTATCTCGTGCAAAAGGCCCGAGTCGATAGAGCATGTGTTTTTAGATTGTTGGGACGCAGCGTTCTACTGGGATGTACTGCAGCGAACTCTGAAAAAGGAACTTCCTCTAAGCGCACACGGGATACGTTTTCTGCCTGTTGCCCCAACCGACTCTGTACCGTATGATTTACTTATGGTTATTGGCTTACACAGTCTCTGGAAGAGCCGCATGGCAGTGCGGCATGCTGATGTGGATGCTCGACCAGTATGTCACTATTTTACTCAGAGCATTAGTCAGATTAGAGAAGTGTATAGGGTTTTGGGAGAAGGGCCTGATTGGTTGCCAGCTCTAGACGGATTGGTCACTTTAAGATCATGTTAATCAGAGTGCGTCAGTCGTAAGTCAGCGTGACCTTTTTCAGAAGTGCTTCTGAGGGTGTATTTTGTAAATGAATAAAGCCTGTCAATAAAAAAAAAAATGCCTCAGTAGCTCAGTGGGAAAGACGTCTGGATCACATGCGGTAGGTCCGGGTTCGATCCCCCGTGAAGCTATTTTTTCTCTTTTTTTCAAACATTTTTTGAGGTTTACATATCTTTATTTTTTTTACAATCATCACTGAAGAAACAAACAAAAAAATAACAAACAAATGTTGTGGACGATACTTCGCTGAATTAAATGGCATGGGATTTCCGTTTTGACACCTGCGAACTCAATGTAATCACTTTCCATAAAATGCAAGGAGCATATAAATCAGGTAGCGTCCGCTTTCCGAGGTGTCCGTATATGTTCTACAGGAATTGCAGCCAGCCATTGGTCCCGATCCCGTTGATCTTTCGGAAACTCTGTCGAACAATGCCACTTTTTTTCGGATGCAGGACATGTGAGCCAGCTCTTCACGCAACATCTTGGGTGTATTCTTTTCGGAGCCGATCATGGAAATTCACCACGGGCACTCACTACTCATCTCCAACTCCTCAATGTACAAAAAAACTCATCTTGGAGTACAGAACAACGAGCGGAACAAACATAGCTGCAAAAGTATCGCACGGCGAGCAGTTCCCGCACGCCGCATGTCGTGTCGTCTGCTACGGAGAGGAGAAAAAAAAAAAAAGACAAAAAACGCACGGTCGGGTGTAGCCACGTGACTTCCGCCACTCACTCTCTTCTCTCCACGTCACCGACCTCCGTCGGGTTTCGGTTTCGGTTTCGAGCAGTTGCGTCTTTTGGCTTTATTAAAAAAATACGCTACTCTGTTGCAAAATATTAATTGGGTAGTCCTCCGACACCATAATAAAGCGCGTGGCAAAAAATAAAAAAATTTTTTTGAGGGGTGTCAGTGTCCCTTTAAGAGATCTCCTCTCTCTCAGTCGTACTCGGTCGCAAGAGTGTGAACGGGCCTTTAGGGTGTTTCACGTAAAGTGAGTGTTAGCTCACTTTACGTTTCGTCTTCAGGGTTGTCTTCAGTTATTACGGACTACAAGGAGAGTTGCCCGGTTAAAGCTGCTTTACTCAATTTATAATGAAGAAATAAAAATTGTCATGGAACTATGTCTAGGATAAGTGCACATGCAATCACGTCAAATATAAAGCACGATGAAATGGTTCAACCCTTTTTCAGACATTCATTTTTTCATTGTCGAAGCGATTAAACAGTGGAATGGGGTTTCAGAGTGTATACTGTTAACTCTTCTAACGTGTATCGTTTTGGACCTTCATTAAAACAAGCTTTCCAAATGAAACAATAAAATGCAATTAAAAGATGGGGTACTGCAAACGACTTAATTTTCGCGACGAACTAATTTTCGCGAATTTCTCGAATCGCCCACAATTCGCGAAAAATAGGTCCCGCGAACAATTCCGGTAAAATGTAAACACATTAAAATTTATATTGAAGTCCCACCTCTACGCGAAAGTTAGAACCCGAGAATAATTCCAAAACTTAATCTTTGACCTAAACTGCGAAATATTGAGCCCCCTAAAAATAAGTCGTTTACAGTATATACTACCGGTGCTAAAATTAAAAATATCAGCGTCTCTCGTGAATTTGATCTGAAATTGTATTAAGCTTTTTAGAAGTAATAACTTTGTGCTATACTTCGTTTCAGCTTCGGTTCAGGCGCAGCCAAAGCTACAAGCGCGAGCTCCGGGCTTTCAGCATCCCTGCCAAGCACGCGCGCTCGTGCAGTGCAAGCACTGTTCTGGGCCACATGCTCGCGCTTGTAGCATCGGCTGCATCTGGACCGAAGCTGAAACGAAGTATAGTAGTTAAGCTTATTGTGTGCATCCCAATTTTGATGCAACTGTGTAAGTATACAACAACCAGTGGCCTTCAAAAAAAGGCCGACACTATTTATAAACAAAAATATTAAAATAACGCGTGTTTGTAAGTTTTAGCACTCAAGGATATTCAGGTGCGCACACTTAAAGCTTAAACGCTTTATTGTCAGGTCAAGCAAAGAAACGCTCAATCTTGAGACGCCGACTGGCAGCAACAGTCCCCGAAGCCTGCTGCAGCCACGACCGAAGCAAGCACCCCAGGTGACGGAGCCATGCACCATCAGAGGAGTCTCAAGACTCGGCTTATGTAGGAACTGAAGGCGATGGTACTGCTCCAGATAGCCGAGCTGCCGATCCCGCAGATGGCACTGGAGTAGGTAATGTCTACGCCCATGCTTGTCATGCCGTGCAGAAACCAGCGTCCGGTCCCTTTGCTCTGGCAGACGAAGGGGCCGCCGCTGTCGCCCTGCGTCGTTGCGACGATGATGTTAGTAACATGCCAGGCAGACCAAAATTACGCTCGTCTTTTAATGAACCCTTCTCAAGACTCTATTGAGCAACGTTGGCAGTTGCCATTTCTTGGGCGAAAAGTGTGTGGATTGGAACCGCGTTGACGCCAAACGCTGCCCTCATGCCCGGCACATGGTTAGAGGACGTGCCCGAACGATGGCAGACTCGGAAAATTGGCGCAACGGTTACTAAGTGACGCCCAAGTTTTGACAAAAAAAAAAAAAAAAAAAGGTCTATCATTACAAATTAATAATCTCGAAGCCTAAACAAGGCACGCGTCATAGAGGAGGCTTGTAAAGACAGCTTCGGAAGAACCCTCGGAACAACATTTCCCAGATAACAGAGCCAGATTACTGTTTTTTTCTACGTCAGCCATTGGGGGGTCAGCTCTGGGCACATCGAGAGTGGCTGCGTCCGCATTCGGGGGGGGGACTCGCCGAGCGCTGGTGCGACACCCGGGCTCAATGTGCAGCCCACCTCCAGTTGATAACGCAGAGAATACAGGGGCCTCTGTGAGTCCCGGAAGAGAACGACAGTCGAGTACACAAGCTGCCATCTTGGCCCAGTCTCGTTCAAATCCCGGAGAAAAGCTCACCGGAGAAAAGCTCACCGCAAAACCGGTGGATGCGGAGGAAAGCTCACCGTTTTTTTTTTTCGTCTTTTTTATATGGAGGTTGTTGAATCATGTTTAACATATGTCCCCCCCCCCCCCCCATTTATTATCATTAAATTCGTAAACTTTGTAAAAAAGGAAATGTCCTTTTTTGTGTTATTTCTTTAGCTTATCGGCTATATTGCTTCGAAATTTATAATTGCGGGCCACTGTTTTCGGGGGTTATCTCTCTAGGCAACGAAAGCCTAGAGAGATATGACTTTATGAACTTGAAGAGCAAGAAAAAGTTTGAAAACTTAACAATGTTTTCCTGAAACCTAAAAATCAAAACTGAATTTCTGAAAATCCGAAAGTGCAAGCGCAACAACGCGGTGCCTGAAATTCTCTTTGACGCTTCTGTTAACCTTACAAAAACGGGATAAAACAGTCAGTAGGATATCAAGGTTTCTTTCTTCCACGGACATGCACGTTTTCTAGCCGTTCGTGCAAGTGTTTCCAGACGTTGCCTTTGTGTGATATAGTGCCCTTCTGCGGCGAGTTACCCATGACTTTCAGAGCTGCCCACTATCACCGTTGTTAAGGTGACCTATATAAGAACTACAGTCTTATATGTTTACAGTCTTCTGTAAGGTAGCGAATTGGACGAGTTGGTAGAGGTTATACATGACGAAAACCGCTCAAACAACGAAGACGGAGTGAAGACAAACACGACAGGATCGACGAAGCTGCTCGCGCAGCTAAAGTTTTGTTATTGAAATTAACAGAAAGAAAACAGCGTAGCCGTCACTGATTACATCTACAAACACATATTTATCCATCAGGCACTACACAACCTTTGGAGCTGAAGAGTTTCATTCATACACCACTATTCATATTAGCTCGCAAAGAACAAACCTCTTCATTTTTTTATTTTTACAGAGCTACCGAGGGTGCACTGTCAGATGTCAATAAATTGTTGTCATTCTTACCGGTGTCCAATGTTCTGATTGTATACTTGCGGAAAGAATTGGTGTATACTAATTTTTGAGGTAAATAGGCCCAATGAATTTCAAGAACATTACAAAAAAAAGGACATATATTCAGTGAAGTGACGAATTCGAACTGTGTTAAATTGCGACGTGTGACGCAGAATCTGCTAAGCTAAGAAAAAAAAAAAAAAAAAAAAACGGTGAGCTTTTTTTTGCATTCGCTCAAAGGCCGGTGAGCTTTTCTCCGCATCTGCCGGTTTTGCGGTGAGCTTTTCTCCAGTGAGCTTTTCTCTGCCGCCCGTCTCGTTCTGCCTTATAAGTCATAAGTGAACGTAAATAAAAAAGAAAATTATAATATCTATTTAGTTAGTTATTCATTTGTATGCTTATCTATTCATTCGGTTCCAAAGGCTGCTAAGCTCTTTTTGGAGAATGTGGAATGAGAAGGTTTTTCCCGCGCAAGAAGTTCTGCCACACTGAATACTGAAGTGTAGCGTGGGAACCCCAGTCCGGCATTGCCGTTCGCCTCCCGTTTTTTTCCCGCGCCTGCACCTGGCCGCGCGTGGCCTGACGTCACGTGCTTTTGTCGACGTCATCACCAAGTGTCGTCCAAAGGGAAGGGTCACGTGACAGGGGAGGGCTCTGCGAACGACGGGCCCGAGTTAGCAAAGGCTTTAGAGGCAGCGACAGAACAGTAGACGCAGGGAAAGCGGAGGTCAACGAGCACACTCGTTCGATCGGATGGCATAAGTCGAGGGAAGAAGTTTTCCTATTCATTTCCTTTCAATCCGTCGGACGATTAGAAACCTCCCTCACAAAGATTGCAACTTTCAGTTAGGGAGAATGTTAAGTGAATGCTTGCGCTTAGCAGCGCTATTGGAATATTACTTACAATTTTCTATTTATTCGGTATTTAATCGCATATTAGTTAGTTGTCAATACTAGGGGCTTTCGTTAGGAGACGCAAGCCACCGCCTGGTATGAAAGGGTTTGGCCTTATCTATCATAGATAGGTGGAAGCGGGCACCAGCGGCCGGACCTATATTTATTTGGACCAAACTTGCGAACGTAGAGGTTGGCGCGTTGACAAGTTTGACAATTAGGAAATGTCGGTTTCATAATTTTGGAAGCATTTACAAAGAACAGCAACGAGAACTTCAATATACTTTTTCTTGGGGGAAAGGGGGGGGGGGGGAGACTATTTTACTTCCCTCCTCCCCCAAAAGGAAATCCTGCGTACGCCGCTGACTTTACGTGATATTAAACTCGCCCTGAATATAGAGAAGAAATTTCCCCGCTAAATTGAGTGAAGACATTTTTCCCACTGCATAGACCCTTTTTAAAAGTGCGCCCCATCTAGCAGCTGCTGAGTAAATTACCCGAGTCGGCCATTGCTTGGGCGCCTGCTGTGAGCATAGAATGGACACGAAGACTGTGTCAGCGTGAACTCGGCTGAGGTCGTATCGAAATATAGTGCTGCGTCAGCGTCCAGTGAAGACTGGGGTTCAATCACACGCTTCATGACCAATGAATAGATGGATGCTAACAGCTGCATGTTTTATGACGGGTGGTAGCTCGCGCCACCTAGGCTAGAAACCTAAAAGAATCAAGAAGTTTGAGTCCTTTTCTCGTCTAAGTCAGTTTTCCTTTTGTAACTATCACCAGGCAGTGTGGGGTATTGCCAGAATGACATTTAAAAGATAGGAAAAAAAAAAAACAACGATTGAAAAATCATTCCCCGCCTTCTTTTCCCGGCGAAGGAGTCTCCAATTTTCCTCTGGTGAAACCCTGTCGGCGTCATCCCAACACCGAGCCCACTGGGAGACAGGATTGAAACTTTAGGATCCAGCTGCGCTAGTTAGCTTTACTTCGTGAAAATTTCCACCAGTCTTCTAACCTCCTCTTTGCGACTGTAATTCTGTTCTCCTTCATTCATTTATCCTGGCCAGCAAAACTCAGCGCCCTCACCAAATTCATTACCCCTTCAGGGTGGGCAGGAAGAAGTCCCGTACACTGCAAGACCAAATCTTCCAGCATCTGAAGCTCACTATGGCACACCAAACCATAATGTGTCTATCTCTTGCAATTTAATCCCACACGTCCTTAACACTCACCCTCTCGACCCTCGAACAGCAAAAAAACTTCACTGTGAATTATCGGACAACTCTTCCTCCCTTATGTCCTGTTTTTGTGAGCTGTACATTGTTAAAGCTGATATGACGGTGGGCAATTTATGGGTGTCTGACAATGTTGTTTGTGGGGTCTGAAAAATTAAGCGGATAACTTTTTTCCGCTAAATTTAGCCGGTCATGACGTACGTACACGAAACACACAATGGATCCGCTGCGAAACCCCTAGCTGTAAAAAAAAGGAAGATGACCCATCATGTTGTACAGCGGCTACTCACGTGACACGGTCCGCTGGACTCGGATTCGTCCTTGGCGCACACCACGTTGTTGGCCTGCAGAACCGGGTGGATTAGCCGGACGGCCTCGCATGCGTCAAAACTCTGCACCACTTGGCGAGTCTGCTTCAGCTGCGTCGAGTGGCCCGTGCCTGGATCGAAGAGGACCCCAACTATTGCACTCTGCCCGCTGCGATCTTCGTTTTCTGAGATCTCGTTATGAGCAGGCGAAGTAATTTTTTTTTCTTTCTCCGGAAGAATTTCTTTTGAGTGAGCAATAAGAGGGGACCATCATGTTGTTGTTAAACAATGTTCGCCTCACCAGGTGTGGTCAGTGCGCATGCGCGGAAACCGGATTCCTGGGAAGTGAAGCGCCTAGCCGGCAGTTGCGCCTAAACTGAGGTTCGGCCTCAGTGGATATAAGAACGGCAGGGAGGACTTTCAAGGCCAATTCACACACTTGCGACTCCTTAGAACTGAGTGCCTTGAAACCTCTTAAAATTTCTTAGGACGAGAGAACACACTGGAACGCTGGCGCCATCTATGCGGTGACCCTGGAACTGCGTTTCACTAGAGCGAAGGTTTTGAGAGATTTTCGAGGTCAAATGTGCGTAATACGTATGAGAAGCGGTCGCAAATGACGTTGAGAAAAGTTTTCCGAGTCAAGAAAGAAAGTATGATGCGCGAGAGAAATAGAAAATATCTGGGACCGCCAAGTTTTCATTGCTACCCAATAGATGGCGCCAATGTGTCCTTCCAAGGCACTTGGTCTTAAGAAGTCGCAAGTGTGTGAACGGGCCTTATAACTTCGTAGTTGCTCCTGTTAGGTTCTTGAGAGAGGAGTTCGCGTCTCCAGCCTCGACTGCACTAACAGGGGGTGGGATGCATCCCTCCGGGGATGAGAACGGGAGGGTCTGCTTCCTGTGTATTCCTTTCTCTCGCCGCGAAGCCCATTGCACGCCCTTTGTCCACTTATTTCTCCCTTTGATGGGATGTGAGAAATCCAACCAGTAATTGTCAGTAACTCATTACTGAAAAAGTAATTCAGTTACTTTAGAAATTTCATGTTCAGAAAAGCGACGAATTAATTACTACATTAGAAAAAGTGACAGATTACAAGTAATTTCGTTAGTCGTAAGAAATTACTTCCAAAGTGACGACGCAGGCGAGTTGCTTAACGATACAACTCACTGCCTCGGTGGCTCCGAGGCAAAGCGCCGGTCTACGGATCCCCAGTTGGTGGGTTCGAATCCCGACCGAGGTGTTTGCAATCTGACGGAGGCTTATTGCGGAGAAGGCGCCGTCTAACCGAGCTTTCGGTTGCACGTCGAGAGATCTCTAGGTGGTCGAAAATAACCCTTAAGGCCCGACCACACTAGCGTGAACGGCGCCGCCGGGCGGCACCGCCGTCCGGCGTCCCAACGCGAGGAGTCCACATTGGCCTCCGTTTTGCAGGCGTCACGTGACAGCACTGGATCACGCGATCGCGCCTCCCGTCGGTTTTCACGGTTTTCCCGCTCTTTCGTCGTCTGCTCTTCGTTAGATTCTTCCGTTCCGCACTCGCTGTCTAGACGGTAGGAGTTCATAATGACCTGGTGATCAGCGTGAATGTGATTAACCTAGCCTGCTCGTTGATCTTGCGACGTCGCCGCGCTCTGAAGGGAAGGAGGCGCAGGTTTTGGGTCCGGCCGAATGGGTTCTACCGAAACACCGAAGGACAGGACAGGTCTGGCGCGCCGCTGGGGCAGCAAAGCCCCGGCGGCGCGCCAGACCTGTCCTGAAGGCTACTCTCGAAAGTGTCACCAACTCAACACGACATCCGTCACAACAGAGACGACATGCAACAAGTGCCACGGAGAAACTCACTTGTAATTCCCAATTCCTCTCCTATAATTTCCCAGCGGTTAGTTTCAAGGAACCGCTCCGTTGGGGAAGGCATCGGGGGGAAATAGGGGGAGCAGACGACACGAAACACGTCCTTCGCTTCGATACGCGCCGAGGACCGGCTTGAGCGTTGCCATGGCATCGCGACGTCACTATCTACGCCATCTCCCATTGGCTCCTCTCTTCTGCGGCGTGCGGCGCTGAGCTCAGAACCGCGCACGGAGCGGTTGGGTGTGCGGCGCCGCACGTCGTGACGTTGAAGCCGAAAACTGGCTTCCACCGGCAACCGGCAGCGACGACCGTCGCGCCGCAGGCCTCCGAAACGCCAATGTGGTCGTGCCTTTAGTCCTCCGCTGGGGCGTGCCAGATGCCCGTTTTTCGGTTTGTCACGTAAAACCTCCAAATTTGTTTCACGGTACAACTGGAACCAGCGCACAAATACTAACAAAAGGGAGGAAGGTGTGGTCGGGACAAGCGCCGAACTTCAACCGATTATGTCATAAAAGGAAGATATCAAACTAACCATCCACGTCACTATCACATCGACACGTGCTTGAAAAAGGCTACCTCATTCTGAAGTAAACAAACACAAGTGTGAGTGACGCATGTTGCGCCTTCCTATCCTATCTCGAACTCTTCCAGAAGTTCTTTTGCAGTTTTACAAACCTCTTTCCCCAGAATCGTGACACAGTCAAAGCTTGGCTTACACATGCAAGTCACACAGTGTAAAGCTAGGTGCGCGAGTTGCTACAGTAGGACAGTTGATATCAGCGACAACGCGTGCTCGAGCACTTGTTCGTTGACGGAACGGCTGCCCGTCTGTTCGATGTGTGCTCTACCACAACTCAATTCGATTCGATCGACCACCTCCACTTCGAACCCAGCGTACCTTGTTCTGTGTTTAACTGCACATTGGTTTAATTTGTTCCATATCAGAAACTTTGGAGCATAGTTGCGACATTTCGAGAAGTGCCGCGAAGACAACCAATACGTCATACCCCTTCGCTTTCTTTTTTATACTATGATAAAACGGACGTAAATAAGGTGTTGTCTACGGTCTTTTGTTTGGTCGCTCTCTACGTTGTTTTATCATACGTTGGCGTTCTATCTTAATCTTTCGAAGTAGCTTTTCGGATCCAGACCGAAGAAATGACACTTGGTAACCCGCAGTGCCAAGCCGTTCTATCTGCCACCCAAATCTCCTTTAAAGCGTGTACTGGCAAGACGTTTCTAGGACTGCTTGCAGGCATGATGACACAGTTCCCCCGTGACCAGCTTGGAATGAGCCGAATCATACGGCAAAAGGCCCTTCTTTGTGCGGGGATAAGAGGCCCAACAAACGTGACTCTTAGTGAACTTCAGTCTTAAACCAAGGAACTGCAGAAAGCATGCCATCCTGGCGTTCATGTGTAAACTTCCTTCCCCCAGAGTGACGCTTAACAAACTCCCAACACAGAAGAGACAGCGGTATCCACCGAAGCCTCATCAGCTCTTTTTGTTACAGCCAGGTAGTCATCTCTAAATGCAAATAACCTGTCTACGCTGCTTGCGTCTAAATCCTCACTAACGAATCGGTTTAGCTTGACCAAACAATTATCACACAGTACCGGCGTTATGCATGCGACAATGCATATGCCACCCTCTTGCAAGTAGCGCGCATCGTTAAAAAAAACGAAGGTCGACCGAAGATAAAACTGAAGCGGTTTCATGAACTTGTCCATTTCCACACTGCTAGCATTCTGAAACTTAATTAGCCACCCTATCTGTGTCAAAACATTGGCGCCGAATAAAAAAAGTTGACAACTTCAATGGAGAACACAGCGTCATTCTCGCGAGTACCACAATTTAAGCACTCCACAATCTGTGAGTTCCGCACCAAAAACGGGGGTCATCTAGATGCAGGGTGTTTAGTTGCTTCGATAGGAATTGGGTCACCAACCGTTGCCATGTACCTCATTCGGTGACAATAGTCCTAAGTGGTGAACCCCCCTTACGTGTTCTGAGGGTGAAAAAGGCCTTGCTGCACAGGACTTGGTACCAAACATATCTTGGGGCAATAAAACAACCACCCCCCTCCCTATCTGCTTGAAGGAGACAGCCTATTTTTCATGAAAGGACGACACTACTTTGCCCAGGTTTCTCACGACAGATGAAAAAGGCACCCTGTCACAAGGTACCAAACAGTCCACATTTTACGGAACACAGCTTCCCCTCTCATAGGCATCAATCTTATCAGATACACGACGCACTACAGCGAAAACTCTATCGTGGTTCAACTCAGAATTTTGTGCCCTTTAACAAGGGTCATGGCAACTTCGTCTGGAAGTTGGACGTCTCCCAGAACTATCAGGTCTCCCTCATCAGGCAACTTCGCACGGGGACTTCCTTTGTGATGTAAAGTAAAACAAAAAAACAAGGTACGTTGAGTGCCCGGGGGGGGGGGGGGGGGGGGGAGGGTGTATCGAATTCTGTTTAGTTGTGGTCGAGCACCTACACAGGACAGACGGGCCGTTGTGTCAACGACCGAACGCGCGAACACGCTTTGTCACTGGGATCAACTGTGGGAGGGCACTTACCTTTACTCTGTGTGACTAGCATGTGTAAGCCATACTTTGACTGTATCACGATTCTGGGGAAAAAGGTTGATAAAACTGCAAGGTAACTGCTGGAAGAGCTTGAGATCAGAAAGTGAGGCGCAACATGTGTCAGTCAACCTTTGGTTTGCTTTACAAAAGAATGAGGTAACCTTTTTGAAGCACGTGTCGGCGCGATAGTGACGTGGATGGTTAGTTCGATATTTTTCCTTTTAGTTAATCACTTAAAGTCCAGCACTTGTCCTGTCTACGCCTTCCTTGCTCTAGTTATTTGTCCGCCTCTTCTAGTTGTAAAATTACTTTTATCCGTGCCTATAGTAAGGGACTGCCACTCAACGGAATCTTAGTGGGCCCTGTAACGATACTTAACAATTCCGCTACATCCCAGCTGTACATCGGATGTCCGGAGGCCTCCGGCACTGAAACGTCGAATCACGAAAAAAAAAAAATGTAACCCGAAAAATTACGTGAGCAAGTCTCGCGTCGCGCGCACGACACATTCACATACTTCCTGGGTTTATCGGAATGATCGAGACAAGTTTAAGTTTATTCAGGAACCGTCATGTTGTAAGATCACGCGGGGGGACACGCTTCGTCATTCGCAAGCCAACTGAGCGCGCCGAGAATCGACCCTTGTTCGCCCCTTGTCTCCAGGGTTAGTACTGCCTATGCATTTGCGGCCTTTGAACTGCGGATTAGACACGTTAACTGTTGTGTCGCTTTGTGTTACTTTGCACGCTGCACACTGTGTTATGCTGTTTTGTGCTTTTTCTGCACTTTGAGTGCATGAGGAAGTGTGAACGAATTTTTTTAAACATGTACATAAAGATCAATTAAAAAAAAAAAAAAAGACCTTTGTTCGCCCCTTTGCCGTGCGGGGCCAACCGCCGGGCGTACGCGTAGGATTGTGAATCGCATGGTCCGGGGTTCGACTCCCGCTGCGACGTTCGATAAACCTCGCTGATTATGATTATTAAGCATGACACATCACGACCAAGTACGTTTCTACGTATTTTTTTTTTAAATGCTCAGGTATCGCCTACTTTTGGCTGTGTATGCTCCATGTTGGGCTGCAGGCATGCGCGTTTCGCATTTCTCGTGAAATCCGACCCTTAAACCCGTTTTCGGTAAAATGTCGGCGCAATTCACCTCTTGTTTCTCCCCAGCCGGTGCTGAAGCAGGTGGTGTTCCTCGGAAGAGTGGCGCCCGTTCCAGGAAGACAAACAGGCCTCACGGTGTCCGTGAAGTTGACTGGCATGTTGAGCTTGATCACGGCCACGTCGTAGGACATATCTCTCTCGCTGTAGCTCTGCGTGCAAGGTTGTCCGCGAAAATAAATATACAAGTGGGAACTGGAACATTGCCTCGTGCTGATACGAATGTAATGTTTCAGGCCCAACTATGCCGCTGTTTAATCACGGTAGACTGCTAAAAACATACCGCAGCAACACTAACATTGTAAAGACAGTTTTGTTTTAAGAACCATCGTTTACATGATGAAGTCAAGCATGAAAAAAAAAAAAAAATTGGGTGGTACCCTATCTGCTTACCTCTGTAGAGAGAACTGTTTGTGACGGAATAAGGTGAAAGTCTTTTTTTACAGTATCTTGTTTCATCGTACTTATAAAGTGTTCATTCTTCCAGAGACGCTTCGCATTGCTGGAAATATGATCGTAGTTATGAGATCGTCCTGGGAGTCCGTGACACTGACACTGAGTCCAGAAGATACGCTCAAAAGGAAGGAAATTTATATTTATTTTCTTTTTTGCTTCGTAAAAGCCCATTCAAGCAGACGCATATATTATAAACATAAAAATTAACAAAGTGCAGACCAATCATAACGTGTCATTTTATTTATACCAAACAGTAAAAAGGTCGGAGGAAAGGCGCTCACTCACCGCAGCAAAGTACTGGTGTCTATGTGCATGGTATGGGTCGAGTATACCACTGGGAAAATATCGCAATATTGAATAATGGCAACACCGCCTATCGGTTTCAGTTTTAAACACGGTCCCTTAACTGCATGCTCGGAACCATACACTTAAAAACAACCCAAGTGCCAACTGTCGACAAATAGAAAATCGCACACAATAAACGCAGAGTTTCACTTGGCGAGGTTGCCTTGTAGAAGAAACAGAATATCGCCCAAATGGACGAACTGCGCTACAGGATTGAGGTGCGGTAACTCGTTCGGGCGCAAGCTCCAGAGGGTCGAATTCAGTCTCGTCGATCTACTTGTAGGCGAAAAATCCACTTGCTAATTTCTTCTACTTTATTGTCGCTTGTACGTTTTGGGTTTTTTCTTTGCCCAAAGAACGTATTCCGATTTTTCCTTGCGAAACAAGAACATGCTTTTCCGGGATGAGTGATGCTCCCGCATTCTTGACTTTCTGGGACAGTATTTTAGGTGAAATAGAACAAGATATTTTTGGTAACAACCAGATCTTTCTCGACGTAAAGAATAATTTTTTCCCGATGGGTACCTTTTATCTAAGAGAGTAGTTTGATCCCGCAATACCTTCGAGGACGCACTTCATATAGTATCACTCACTTGTTCTCTGCCACACTGTGCGGTCGAACACGGGTTCGGATGTACATTTTTGCCGTGGATGATCCACGGGTAATCCGCGGATATGCAGGGCTCTAATTACAGATCTCACTCAATCACAAGTAGTTCTCGCCCTCACCGTAGTTGCGGCGCTGGCGCTTGTGTTGAACGCGGGTAGCGCGGCTTTTACGAGCTCGCCACGGTCGCTGCCGTCCTCCGCCGCTTCCGGCACCAGCCGTGACGTTGCCAAGTGAAAATATGTTTTGTCTATTTGTTTGTTTTGCCTCGACGTCTTTCCGTGGACTGGCCAAGCGCTTGAGAAAGGCGCGCTTTTTTTCTTTTTTTTTTTAATTTGAGGGCGAGTTTTGTAAAGAAGTAATCTTTACGGTGTATACTGTTCGTTTCAATCATTAGCGAGCACTTGGTACAAGTATGAAGTGGGCGCCTGCAGCGATGTTTATACAGGTTTGAATTAATAATATATAAATATGCCCCGCCGCATGCGTTCTTTTTTCCGTCCTTAATGCTCGGGCGGTCTAGTCGGCACTTAGTTTTCGAGTCGAACTATTTCGGAACGCTTTGTCTCTATGTATCCTGGTTCGCTCAGGTTACTTTGCCTACAATAGCTGCCTGGTAAATATTTTTTTTTTCTGGAGGAATGAACGATTGAAAAACTTATTACGTACCATAATATTTCACGCTATTTTTTTATCGCGTCTAATTTTTTGTTGCACCGCACATACCCACTGAATTTGGAACGTTCTAATCTACCGACTCTATGGCTCATAAAAGAATCAGCATTCCCAAACCTCACGAGGGTTTGAACATTGTGTGAGCAACGAGTCCTGACATAAAATCGTTATCGGCGTCAGATGCCCTCGGCGTTCTTGTTTCCCGGACAATGTGCAAACGTACCAGTATGTTGAATAGAATTATTTATTACAATTATTATGAATACAATTATTATGAATTATTTACAAACTACATGTATACTTCGAGTTTTCTATTAAATATATTTATTTATATTCGATGGAAGTTGATTCTTAATTTGTGTTCACAAATTGGTACGAATAAACTACGACCTAGTGGTGTGGGTGCAAGTCGTTTTACCTTCGATATAAAAATTACTTCACTTCTAACTACCGACAGCCAAATCCGGATATCTACGCAATATTTGAAGAAAAAAAAAAGGGGAGGGGGCATGTAAGTTAATCAAGTAGTGTACAATTCTCCAAAATTTGTTTTGTTCTATATATTAAAAAAAAAAAAAGGAAATTGGGGGCGCTTAACCTCTTTGGGGGGGGGGGGGGGGGGGGGGGAGGTTGCTTTCGTGCGCACACGCGCCTGCACGCATGTCGAATATTTTGAATTGCTGAGGTGCCGAATATTACCCCTTCCCTCCCGTTATTGACTCGTAGAAATATATTGTCGATAAGAAGAAAAAGAGCGCGCCTCGTAAACTGCCTGGTCGTGCACCAACGTGAGCTGTGCCGGTTGGTAAATATAGGCATCGTGACTTATGTCTAAATACCTACCGGAGCTAGTAAGAAAACCCTTTCTTCGGCACGCGAAACGTTTTAGGGTGCAGGCAGTGTTCCGACTGATGTTCAATGGCCCCCTCTGTTAGATGTTCTTGTCACTGATACTTACTTTAGGTAAATGCCGTGCTAAAAAAAATGACAGAAATCGTTCCTAATTTCCCGGTGAAAAAATAATTTTTTTCGCATCACAAAATGAAACATCACGAAGGTTCATCATGTTTCAAAAGAAGACCAATTCGCCCTTATACTTCGTTTTCCCTGGAGCCCAGATGCCGCCGACTCTACGAACTGATCGGACCAATCAGAGAGCTTGAAAAGCTCACCGTCGTGGTGTTTTCCATGCTTCTGTACGTGTTCTGTCATTGTTGAACCAATCGAAAGCAAAAAAAAAAAAAAAAGGCCTAGTGACTTGTGCTTTTGACGCTGCTTGATTGATACTCTATCTTCATAGCGTCGGCTGTGTCTGGACTTATATGAAACGAAGTATCGCAGGTTAAGGACGTCAAGGATTTGTTATCACCAATATTAGGCGAAAATGGAAAGACATATCTTTTTGAATCTAATCTAACTTCTGGCCTGCAGTCCTATTGCTATCAACAATTGAATTCATTTTTTTTTTGATATGCTAGAGAATAAATGTAGCAGCCTTAAAATCAAATCA